ATGACAATCAAATTAAAAAGATGGAGAAATAAATGGAGAATAAAATATAAAAATATTGCTTTAAAGATGTTAATTGCATATATAGAAACAACATATTTTATTTTATACATATGCTTATATACACAAATATTAAAGGGGTCATATGATGCGATTTCAATTTTTCCTTTCACTTTGGAGTGTTACAAGCTCTTTGTGCATAAAGAAGATCTGTAAAGTTGCAAAGACTAAAGTCTCAAATCCAAAGAGATATTCTTTATAAAAGTTCAGAGTCAGCCACACCTACCTAAAACGGCTCGTTCCAACACGCCCCCACATATCTACCTAACTATGTGGGAAGATTTGCATAACGCCGCCCAAATGTTCACCCAAAGAAAGAAGGCGTAACTTTTAGTCTCACTGTAGTTTTGTTGACGCTGCAGCCATGTCGTGAAGACGCTGTGTGCTTCGTTGTGAAAGCGAAACTACTTTGTTTGGTCTTCCAAAAGAGGACGATATCCGCTTCGTCATGCCTGGAGCTGATCTGTGCTGGTCGCTGAGGGAATACATCAACTTTCACCATGGACGAAGCGGAATCCAGCCCTGGGTCGTCACATGTGGTTGCCGCTCATTCGTCGAATCCGCCGGGCGCACCGTTCTCGACCCCGCCGCCTCAGCTCACTCTAGCCCGGCCTCAGCTCTCTCTATCCCGGCCTCAGCGCACGCTAAGCCGGGGCTTCCCCTCACGCTAGGCCGCTGTGTTTTTCGTGGTGAAAGCGAAAGTACTTTGTTTGAATAATGTTATTTTTAGCAGCATCATATGACCCCTTTAAGGTATTTTGAGAGCCTAGGGAGACCAACTCGATTCTGTCATTCGCAGTGCCTCATGGGAGTGGGTGGGCGCTATAGAGTTATTTTGGTACTTGTATCAGTTTCTGACTGGTGGAGATTACTTTGCAGAATCATGGGTAATATCGTTTTTCATTCCGCTGTTAAACATGATTATTTAAAAGAATAAGTTTGAAAAATAAAATCGGCAAAATAGATTGAGCAGACTGACGGCTTCAACAAAAGCACATAGTAGTCTTGAATGTCTTTAAACAATAGGACTGTGTTTAAAGTTAAATAAGTTATCATTAATATCAATTAATGATATTGATTTTAAACTATCAATGGAAAAAAGTCTATGGAGAAAATGAATGGAATTTTTACTTCCGCAACCGACTGTTGCACTCTATGCTACTACTACTTTTTTACCCTGTACTGACACCTATTGGCCTGAATGCATGCTGTAAATAAAAATGCTAGTTTTTTTATTTACAACTGCAGCTTCTCCACAACCAAGCTGTTTGTTTGTTTATATATATTAGGGCTGCACGATTAATCGCATGCGATATTTAACGCGCATCTTGTCAGAAAGCCGGTTCTGTAATCAGCGGTAAATCTCCATCACCTGCGGGCTTTCACATTGAGCACACCTCCATGTAATAGACATTGGCCATTGCTTGTTTAGTTTAGATGTACTTGTATTGTTTATGCTTTGTAAAGAGCATTGAGCACTAATTAAAATTGTTATATAAAGTTAACATTATAAGTATTATTATTATTATTATTATTATTATATATAGGCCTACAGTAACTCGTCAATTTGCATAACACCACAGGTCATGTCATGTCAACATGCTAGCACCCATAAGGCATGGACCCATTCCTGTAGAATAAAAAAGCTTTCCCTGAACACATACGTTACCTATGTACCTATGTATAGGTAGAGATAGTACCTATCTCTTATGATAATTTAATGATTTTTAAAAATTTGCTGAGTGCACGGAAGTAGAAACCAGTGAGCCAAACTTTATAAATAATGCATATGACTATGGCGCTGACCGTGCATGCGGATGCAATTTATTGTTGAACGTTAGAACAAAATGTATTAATTTATTCTGCTTAATGATGTTATTGTTCCAATTTATGATAACGTAAAATAACAAAAACGGAGAACTTGTTAAGCCAGTGAATGAAGGCTAGAAAGCACAAATGAAGCTGTGGGTCCAGCTGAACACACAATAGGCAGCGTTGCATTCATTCGCCTTTGTGAGACAATAGTAACGCCTGTATTTGGCTCTGAAATTGAACGGATACATACACAAACCCGTGCGCATTATAGTACAGAATAACAGCAGTTTCACTCGCAAGTGTATTCAGAAGTGACAAAAGAGCCTATACACGTATGAAACAGTATAAAATCAGATTTTGACAACACTATCTTCTTATCTTCCGGCCCATCCGCGGAGAAAACTACAAAGGCAGCGATGCTCCTGGATCTCTTACCGTCGCCTGCCTTTGTCAGCAGCTCCACGGGTCTGCTCTATTTGTGTTGAAAAAAAGAAAAACGAACAGTTTTCCATCGGGAAAGTGGTGTTTTCGTAGTTCAGAGTTTGTTATTGAATCTTGGCACTGGTGCAGTCCGGTAGATGGAGGTTTTAGTCTGTCAGTTTGCTGCTGCTGCCGTGAGGAATTTTCCGTGTGTTATCAGAGAATAATATTAGATCTTACCCTCGATAGTGTCACCGGGAGAAACCGCCGAGAGAGCGTTCCTTTGAGACACACTGCATCTGTTCGGCTGCCAGTGTCCCTCTTCCAGTGTGGATCTGCAAGCTTTTCTTTGGCAAAACTCGTTGGTGTCTCCTTGATGACGTCACGCCCTCCCAGTCCATCAGACGGTGATCCTGACACCTGCGCGCTCGTGCAGGACAAACACATCAGTGCTCTGGCATCAGGTCTGCAGGTGGGCTTGGCTGCTCAGGGCATCTGTTTGTGACATCTAAGTGCTTCACTCCACGGACTCACTATTTTTCAAAGTTAATTTTTATTGATAAAAATATTACTAGGTGCAGACACTTAAATGCGGTCCTTTTTGTCTGTATATTGAAAATTTTTTTTTTTTATTTGTAGGCTATTTCATTGCAAAGTTTGTACACTGTAAAATTTTCAAAAACAATAAATACAGTAAAACAAACTTTATTACATTACTAGGCTGACAAGACAGTACGTGCAATTTCACTTATATTTATATTATTTGTATAATCAATACATTTATAATATAAAAATAATATAAAGATTTTATATATATTTTATATATATATATATATATATATATATATTAGTGCTGTCAAGCGATTAATCGCGATTAATATATCTTTGTTTACATATAATATATATATATGTTTACGTAATATATATGTGTGTACTATGTATATTTAGTATGTATATATAAATTCACACACATGTACATATATTTAAGAAAAATATGTTACGTAACGTTTATATATTAAATATATATATGATATAATTTATGTAAATATTTTCAATATATATATGCTGTATGTGTGTGTTTTTATATATACATAATAAATATACACAGTATACACACACATATATAATGTAAACAAAAACTTTTTATACAGTGAAACGTAATTGGTTAACTTTGTTACATTACTATATATGATTTCAATGTCTCTCTCTCTCTCTCTCTCTCTCTCTCTCTCTGTGTGTGGTCCTGGTAAACCCTACATTATGGGGACAAAATCATAAATCATACAGAATGAAGTTTTTGAAAATCTAAAAATGCACAAAGTTTCCTGTAAGGGGTAGGTTTAGGTGTAGGGTGATACAGTTTGTACAGTATAAAAACCATTACGCCTATGAAATGTCCCCATAAAACATGGAAACCCACTGTGTGTGTGTGTGTGTGTGTGTAGCTTACTGAAATACTGTGATTAAAAAGACTGATGTAATTTCCTTAAATAATGTTAAACATTCAACTGTTTATTTAAATATTATTTCCTTTCAAATGAATAACTATCAACAAATATTGTAGTAACTCACGCCGTCATTTCCTGAAAACGATGCATCAATTTATTTTCTAGCTCTCAGCTACGGTAGCATGCTGCTAGCATCGATGAAATGTGTGTCAGAATAGTTTTCAAATCATTCTGATCACCATTTATCTTTTTTCTCATGATAAAGTGAACCGAGATGTCTGTGATTAGGTCTCGAGCTCTGCTGCTTTGTTTTGTACTTGCACACTCTCACTTCTCTCGCCCTCATTCTCTTTATGTGCCTTCAGCTCCTTGATAAATGCTTAAAGACCTCCCACTACTGACAAAAAGTACAGCAGTTCCTGGAAACAAAATGAGCACCTCGGTTCCGGCAGTGCAGAGATGCAGTATCTTTGGATTCCTCAGCGGGGAGAGACAGTGTGTTTGGCTGCCCTCCAAATGCTTCATCCTGACTGAGGTCAGGTTGTTGTGGTGAGAGGAGGAAATTAGATAAATGAAGAGCTCGTCTACATTTCCTCTGTCCAAACACCTGAGTCAGCTCTGTGAGAGTGAGAGGGCAAAAAATATGTATACAGATACACATGTAGCAGTGCGTACATGTCTGAAAAAAAAAAAAATATATATATGTATATAAATAACCAAGGCAGTATGTTGTGTTTAATTACTTCCACTTAAATTATGCATATGCCTATCATTGATCATTTATATTGTTAGATTATATTTATGCTTTTATTCAAAGTAAAAATAATTCAACCGCCATGCCATATCAAAGACTATAGAATACCTAATAGTCTTAAAGGGACTTTGGGAATTTGGGTCCTCTGAAAGATTTAGCCAGGTTTTTCCCCCCTTTAGCTTGCAGCGACCTCTAATGGTTACAAATGTAAATCATTTAGAATCAGACACTCATATTAGTATGTTTAACTTTAATTTGTTTAACAAAATAAGTTTTATTCACGTGTATCGTATCGTATACTATATTTATAAACCACTAAATTCAGCAGGTCTTGTCTCGTTCTTTTCGGGTTTTCTCCAATTAAAAACTGACAAAGCTGAATATAAGTATATTCAAATTAGTGCTGTAATTATATGGTGTTAACGGATTTTTCTCTCTACATATGAAGAACATTTTATAGTATTGTAAACACTGAATTGTTTATTCATTACATTCCACTTAAAGTGAAGGTGAATATTTGAAAACACTGCGTAACACTACAAAGTAAGGGACAGTTTGTTCATTTTAAGGGTGTCAAGATGGTTTCCACAATTCAGGGATTCAATACATTTTGTGTTGTTTGCAAAAAAAGAAAAGAAAAAAAAGTGGGCCAACAGAGCATTTCTCATTACATTTCAGGGCTTACTTTCATGAGCAATATCGTCACAAATGTGTCAGTGTGAGACAGATAACAAGTGAAGTGTACGCCCACAATTTATCTAAAATCACGTGTATTTCCTCAGAAATGGTGTTGATGAACAACAGTCAGTTGAGGATAATTATGTACATGCATTTTGTTAATCTAGAAAAATGCAGAAATACACTCAGACCAGTTTATTTCCATAATTTAATCCTTCTGTTGTGCTAAATCATTTTAATGAATATAATAAACAGACAACTATAAGACAAGATATAATTTGAACAGCAGAAAAAAAAAATACACTGCATGTAAACAGACAACTATAAGACAGATATCATTTGGACAGTAGCACTGAAAAAAACAAAAAAACAAACACTGAATGTAACGTAGAAACTAAAGCCCACAGAAACATAAAATCCTCAAAAATGAAGTGCATCTATCAACTCTAACGTTTGATCTACATTTTAAACACATTTGGTGAAGTACTGCTATATAACATTTTCTAGTACTTTTGTGGGGTTGGAGACATAGACATACAGTATTTGTCAAGGGCTAGCATAAACCTGTTAGGCAGGAAAACGTTAATAGTCAAAACTAAGAATGTCACATGGTTTACAGACACCTCTTTGATCATTTGATAATGTTCAGTGTTTTTCTGACCACACACCTGTGTGGTTCCTGTCAGCATTGCTTCAAGTTCAAGTTGCACTTTCAAATTCAAACCAAAAGGCTACATGTTTGGAATACTGCCACACCTTCAAACCACTGATGTTTATGGTGCCAGTGAGGCTGTGTTTAGCTGCACAGTATTGAGACTGTAGAGACTGTCCCAAGAGAGGGATTCAGGAGATTTTACTATCACGCGTACAGACGCTTATAGTCATTCTTCTTGCTTCTGCAGGTAATGACACAGATGCTGAGCATCCCAAACAGCTGAAAAAGACCCACAAAACAAGTTGCTGAAAATTCATTGTCTGATAAACAAGGATGAAGATGAGGCTAAAATGAGCTGATGTACCTTAATGATGGCAAATCCCAGGATGACCAACATTGCATAACTAAGCACATCCTGAAGCATCTGCTCCAGTTTAGCTTCACATCCCTGTAAGAACAACAGAGTACAGAGGTTTTTGTTTCCCCCACAAAAACACAAATTACATAATTTTAATATAATATGCTGATCTAAATACAAGTGTTGTAACTAAAAAAACTTGTAAAACAAACAATGAAAATTAAAGTATTAAATGAAAATAAGTTTAAGTACTAAAATTCCAAAAAGTGAAATAAAAAAATAGCTAAAAAAAACAACAACAAACTAAAATTAAAAGTGAACTGAAAATATAAAAATAAAAGCCAATTCAAAATATAAAATACTACAATAGCATATAAATAATACAAAAATAACTGAATAAAATAATGCACAACATCAGATGTCAAACCTGTGTGTTCAGAAGATCTAGTCGGGTGAGTTGGCCAGTGCATTGTGTAGCAATTGCTTTGCAGCAGGAATGTGGCACAGAGTTGTTATGCTGGCCATACCATGGTATTGCAGTCCAGTCTGTGATGTTATTCACCCCACAGCACTCCAACTGGAAATGTAAAAGTAAAGAAGGACGAGGCGAGAATAAAGAGAATGAGAATCCTTCATGCATCTATTGCGTCTGTCATTTCCTGTGCAACCAAAAACGATATGAATGAACCTTTCAGCCTTACTTGAGATTGCAAGTAATCCACTGCATGGGCTTCAGTGTTCACACCGTCATACTTTTGAAAGACGCTGTTCATTGACTTTTCTAGGTCACCCTTAATCTGTAAACATCATAAGAAACAATTTCCAATTATTTATATTTCTACAGATTGTACATATTATTCATTATTTATCTAAGAATTACTTACTCTTCCCCTGTAGATGAAGCCAAACACAAAAGCGGTCACCTCAGCTGCGAAGATTATCATGATGATGATAAGAAACTAAATGCAAATTCAGAGAAAAGTATACAATATTAAAAATGATGAAACGAGTACTACCCCAGAAGCTTTCAAGAAGGAATAGAAACCACCATATGGTCCCTACTTTTTATTTTCGATTAAATAAACTGAAACAAAGGCTTTAGGCATAAAAGGTACACAGACAGATGGCCCATACTTACAAAGCCTAAACCGATTTTGGACTCCCTCAGAGTTGCACAGCAGCCAACGATCCCGATGACAAACATGACCACAGCCACACCGATTATAATGGCTGCTGGGATGACAGAGTACTTATCAGACACAAAGTCTTCAAAGCTGTTGTAGCTCTTTATCACATAAGAGCCAACATACGCGAGGGCCGCTCCAGCAGCCTGGAGAAAAAAACAAAACAAAAAAAAAAACAACAGGTGGGTCACAGACATGATCCTCAGATTTATTTATTTGTTCCAAAAAAAACTTTATTAAAAGGTAAGGTTAGTTAAAGTCATGTGGGGCAACTCCCCGAAAACATTATTTCAGTTTTTATTATTTCATGTCATTTGTAAGGGGAAAAAAAAGAAAAATAATGATTAAGACGTGTACACTCGCATGTATTTCCTTTGTAAGAAGAACAACATATGTTATTAGTTTTTACTTCCACTACACAACATGACATTTTAAAGCAGTGGTGCTCAACCAGTAAACTAACTAAACATTTACTTGCGTGTACAAAAAAAAACAGTTATTAAATGCATATAATTTTCAAGAAAGGTTTACTTTTTTGACATTCTTTTTTGAAAATCAAACTATTTGGCAAAAACATTTTAAAGGTTTTTTTTTTTTTTTTTAAGATTGTTGAAATGAGAAAGCATCACAAAGTAACATGCTTCTCTGAATTTCCAGTTCACTTCCATAATAACAATACATTCATCATCTCTCACATGATGTTATAAGGTGTCATTTCATAACAAGTACACTTTGGAATTCTTGGTGATGTATGTATGACTCGCTAGCGCATGATCTGTTTCTTCAGTAGTCAGTCACAATGCACAGTCACGAGACTATGAGTAACCTTCTCCTGCCCTCTAATCGTTCCTGGAACGCTAGTCTTGTGCCTCAGCTTGAGCAGAAGCAGCACAGCAAAACAGAAACCCTTGAGGCATGAAGGTACACATGACAACGGCAATACATCAGCTTTCCACAAGACAAAGATGATACAATAAGAGAGTTCAGTTCCAGATTTCGTTACTTACTGCAGTATTGTTAGAGAAAGAAATAAAGCACAAAACCACAAAACCACAAGTGCATGATGTCCAAAAGGGCAGGAACAACAGGGCCCCTAAAGGCCTTAACCTTAAAAAAAAAGTGTCTTGATTTCTGTGAATTTTAACAATGGCTAGATGTAGAGGAAAATATTAAAATGGCTATGCAGAAGAGTTAAAAGTCATGTTTTTTTTTTTACAGAACTCCCTTTCCTGCCCATTTAAGCCTAAAATGAGTATGCTACACTAAGCCAAATTAGATGACTAGGCCTACATTATGACACAGAAAAAAATCTTATTTTTATTTTGTAAAAGTTTTTATAAATTAGAAGCTCTGGCAGTTACATAAACTCTGATGTAAACAAGTGTGAATACCTTTAAAGGCTGCAAACAACACAAGCTCGTTCATATGGTTTTCTTAAGTGTATAAACAAAGAGTAAACAAACGACTCACCCTAAATTAAATTACATTTTAGAGAAGAGCTCGCTGTCAGAAGCAAGTTACTCTGACTAAACATTCATTTAGTGTCTGGAGGAGGGGAACAACCTCTGGATGAATACAGACTATTGTGATGCTTATAAAAGACCCTTCTTCCTACAAATAGTAATCAACTAACAGCAAAAACAACAGTATGGGTTTGTAAACCTCTTAGGGTACATTTATATCTTTCTATAACAACATACAACAGAAATTATGTTAAAACGAACAACACAAACTTACCCAAAATGTTAAACTGAGAAATAAAAGAACGGTTTTCGATGTTAGAATTCCGCAATCCATGTCTGCTGCTGAGTGATGGACCCAAACTGTGAATGTTTCGGATTTGTCAGTCAGTCACATGCTCCTCTCAAGCTTTAGGAGCGGAAACCCCCAGGTCCTAAATACCGTAGGGCTCCGTGGTTTAGAGGCAAGGGGTTCACGACGGAAATGCGTGACGCGTTGTCTAGGGTACGTGAGACGTAAACGCACTGAGAATGTGGGACAGTATAGATCCGTGATAGAGCACTGATAAAAGCTGTTTACTTTCAGCTTTTGAGTTCTTCTTTATTATGCTACAAACTTTTGAATGTAAATATATCAAGACAATATTTAAGGCAGTATAACTTTTGACACTGCAGTTCACTTGATTTTTTTAGCTGAACTGGGACAGATCATTAGCAAAAGTGGGACATGTCAACTTGAGGTGGTCAAGCTTGTTTTTGTTGCATGGTAACAGGTTTGTTAATGGTACAAGGGGGCCTACTTTTAATTTGTTTACACAGCAGCTTTGAAATTTCAGTTTGGAGGACAGAATTTATATTTGGCACCTTAAAACTAAAAAGATTCAATACCTTAATGCTCAGTACACTTGCGAAAGCCTCACACTATGTTGAACTTTGCCAAACACAAAATGTTGTGAATTGCACTGGCTTATAATGAAGATGTTCAGCCTTTTTTGAAGCACAACACAGCATAGGGTTTTAATTTTAGTTGATCACAAAACCTCTCACAAACTGAGCATTTTTGATTTAAAAGTAGTCAAATCATTTACGCTTATGTAACCCTCAGACATCTCTGAACATGCAAAACAACCAAAAGGGTCCTTCTAGGTCATTTATCATCCAACTGACATGGCATCAGAGATAAGGTTTCAGCGGTCTGGGAGACACCCTTCTGGTGTAATAACTCCAGAAGATCAAACTGTAAGAAGTAAAACGCTTTTATGAATAAACTAATATGATTTTAACATTATTTGAAGTTTTAAATGTCAGCCACATAAACACAATGGATGTAATGAGTGACATCTAATAGCCTCAGATCTCAGACAATCACACTTGATATATCTGAAAGTGTTAGCATCTAAATAAAATAAAAAGAATACATTAAAAATATAATTTATCGTTGTTATTGGAGTTCTAATTACATTTATTCAACGTGTCAGTGTTTTTGTAGGGCCATCATTTGCTAAAAGTGAGAAAAAAGAAAATGTGTTTTAATCAGCTAAAACTGCATTATTTGTTGAAAAACTCTGCAAAATATTCAATTTTTTAAATCCATGATAATATTAAATATGGTCCAATCTCACAGAACAATTGCACATAATAAGCAAATAATCTTTTTAAAAGCATGCAATTATAAAAAGTCTAGAAACTGTTCAGTCTTAAAACAGCATGACACATTGATTCTTCACATTTGCAAATAGAAAACAAGTTTTAACTGTATTAATACAATGCTACGTACAAGTTAAATGTTATTGTGGCACTTTTTTATATTTTCTGGCTGACAATCCGGGTCGTTATATTATTTAAAAAAACAGAAAACATACTCTTTCTATTAGTCGGAAAACACAAATAATTGCGGCTCATAATAAGGCGCTGAAATCATGATTACTAGAGTCTACACGGTTCTCATGGTGACTATTTTAATTGCACGCGCCCGCCCTCCAACTCAGTCTCATCAGACATCTCCTTCCAGCTGACGTTCCAGCTCAAATAAGCTGTCAGTCATGTCCACAGCCTCTCCATCAGCCCCATCTTCTGCTACTAAAACGCCAAGACGAAGGTCCAAGGCCAAGAAGTCAGGAGCCAGCGTGTCTGATCTGATCCTCACGGTGTCATCTTCAAAGGAGCGCGGTGGCGTCTCTCTGGTCGCTCTGAAGAAAGCTCTGGCTGCCAGTGGTTATGATGTTGAAAGAAACAACTCGCGCATCAAACTGGCAGTAAAGCGACTGCTGGCCAGCGGTCGCCTGATTCAAACCAAAGGCACTGGAGCATCTGGATCATTTAAGATCGGCTCGAAAGCTGCTACAAAGCCTAAGAAGCCAAAGGCGAAGAGGGCCAAGAGAAAGACGGCTAAGAAACCTTCTGGGGCAAAGAAATCACCCAAGAAGAGAAGGAGAAGTTTGAGAAGTCCTGAAAAAGCCAGCGAGACAGCTGCGGTCAAGAAGACCACAAAACCCAAGAGAGCCAAACGAAGAGCTTCCAAAACTGCCAAAAAGTAATTGACAGGATAATGACTGTTTTTCATACTGTTTAAAGGATTCTTGCATCCTTTTAATGCTTTGTAAAAAATAAAATAATTCTTAATTAACAAAACCCCTTTTGTCTCTTGATGCATTCAACTTGGTTATTTTATTAGTAGTAATAGTATTTTATTTGACACTATTATTTTTTACACAATAAATTACATTTATTACGTTTAAACACATTTTGTTTACAGCAGACCAAAGTTCAAAAATATTATTTTATATTATTTTAACATAAGCAAGAAATGTAAAAGGGCAAATAATAGCCTACCAACAGATGAGTATTAAGCTTAGATGCCCAGTTTGTTTAATATCTAACGGATAAATGTTAAAAATAGCTCAATTTTGAAGTGTAAAGTGAGTGTGTAATTACGCACGAGCTTTATACAGGTTATTCCACTAGATGGTGTTATCTGAAAAGCAGTAGACTGCTAAGTGCTTTTAGTCGTCCTTGTTTAGACACAAGGGTTAGGGCACTGGGGCTGGTGTTCAAATATCACCATCTAGTGGAATAACCTGTATAAAGCTCGTGTGTAATTACGTCACTTATTCCTTAAAAAAAATTAATTAAAAGACTAATTATAAGAAAAATAAATGGTTATCCAAGAAAGCAATTATTTTATACTACAGTGTATTTTAAGTTCTTAAATGTTAGGAGAAAATTTGAAATTTACATTAGGGTAAACTGATCTGTGTTGTACCAGAAAACCGTTGAGGACGTTGAAGAAAAAAGCACAATTTCATCAAGGGGAATAACATATTTGAGTAGAGCAACTGAGAAAAACTCTCACTTTAATGCTAATGACTTGCAATATGACATAATGGAAGGAGGAAAAAACATTTCAGTGCAGAGTATAAGAAAACTAGACAAGAATGGCCGTCATGTTAGGACATCTTGCGGAATGCCACTCAAGAAGAACATAAAAAGCCAACTGATAATGCTAAAATAAATTTGGATATATCTGTGGAGTCCCGGAAGAATGTTTTATGGAGTGATGTGACCAAACTGGACATTTTTGGACTCATAGATCAATGTCTGGTGCAAAAAAGGCAAAACTTATGAGCAGAAGGACACCCTCTCCATCATCAAACACGGAGGTGGACCTGTCTTGTTATGGGGGTGTTTTGCTGTTGCAGGAAATGTAAGTCTTGACTGTATGAAGGACATCATGGATTCTTTGAAGTATCAAGCCGTTTTGGCAAAGATTGTGATGTTTTTGGTGCAGAGACTGAAGCTTGATGATCAATGGTGTTACGTCCTTGAGTTGTGTTAATGTATCTTTTATTATTTCCCCAAGTCTCTCTTTTTACTTTCACTTTCCTAGCCACGTCCCATTGGCCCATGCCACACACCTGGTCCCCATGTTCCTGTGCTGTCATTGACCAGCACTTTAATCTGATTGGTGCCCAGAGTAGATGCCATTCATGAGTCTCTAGACGCTTCAAAACTTTATTCAACTTTTCATCCTATAGATGTGTTGTAGTGAATCTGTGTATCCCGTGTGATTCTGCACAAAATTTGACTTTTGGGGATTGAATAATTTTGTAAATGAATGTTTAGAGCCAATTTTATGTATGTATGTACAGGTATGTATGTATGTATGTATTTATTTATTTAATTTCCCTCTACTTTACATTCAATCACTCAAATGTGTATTAATAAACATTCTAGGTTGCTGATGCCTTGCTGAATTGTTTTCATAAAATTTTGTTCTTGGCATCAAAATGTCTTGCAGGTCAAGGGGTTGAATAATTCTAATTGCCACTGTATTGTGTATTGTATTGCCACTGTATTGTCACATTAATAATAATAATAATAATAATAATAATAATAATACATTTTGATTACATTTTGTTTTGCTCACTTTCTCATAAACTGGAAAACATAATATAATAAATGGGTTTTCCCTCTATAACCTCCTAATTTGTTCCTTATTGATAAGAAGTAAGGTAATTGGAGTAGTCATGTTTAGATATTGGGCAGAATATGGTCATGCAGAATAAGGCACTGGTGCTTTATAACTATTAATAAGCAGTCAATGTATGCTAATAATCAAGTAATTAAAAGTGAATAGTGATCCCTAATCTAAAATGTTACCGAAAGGGTTTGACATAAATGTAAATTCCCAACCAAGTTAAAAATGACTTAAATCGTACTTTTGACCTGCAATAAGATTCACTATGTCTCATTTGCTTATCTATAGAATACAATACTAATAACTGAGAGTGAAAATGTAAATGCAAACATAACAGTATAAAAATAGCAACAAGCAGTAAAACAGCAGTAAAATAAGTTTAACATTAACCAGCAAAATGTATTCATACTTAGATGCAACCTGGAAAATAATTTATTTTTGAGCCTATTGGGAATTTCCTATGTTTTTTTCCCCAGTGTGTTTTTTGTTTTATAAGTTAAATAAGACTAAAATAAAATCAGATGTTAGTAACATGTTTTTCTGAAACCTGTCATTATGTTTGTCCCATTTTCATACAAAAGACTTGCATAGTTAAGAACCTGCAGAGTGTTACTAGCAGCTTTTCCGTATCTTGTATTTTAATTGATCAGAACTGCAAGCTAGCCAAACAAACTTCTCTTAGAAGCACTCACACGATAAGGAAGGGTTGGTAAAAAAGGAATAATAATAATAAACATGGGTAGAGTATAATAAAGCATAACATTTCATTTCATAACCATCATTATTACAACATAATATAAAACATAACAAAAGTTATATAAATACAAATATAATTAAATGGTATATAAAAGGAAGTCAGGGTGCGGAAATTAGTGAGGAAGTGTTACTGTAAGTACACAAAGC